CCATCCATTTTGGACCAACTTCTAACTTAAAAGAAATAAAAATTTGTGATTCACTATCTCCCTTATTAGATGCACGAACTTATCTCATTAACGGCCACTGTATGGAGAAACTACCATTTAATTCTACTTTCCACTTCTAAAATTTACAGATGCTGGAGCTTCCAAGTTCTTAATATCCCGCTAATGTGCCACTTCACGCCCCTATGTTTTCTTTGGTAAATTACTCTCGGTCCCCTTGAAAGATACCTAAATTACATGAATTATATCTCTATTTTGGAAAATTACACTCACTTCCCTTTCAAGCAAAATATGTGCTGAGAGTAAATATTTGACAAGTATGATTGGACACTTTTCATAATTGAGAAATTTGTAAAATCAATTAGTTAAAAAGTCGTCAATAAGAATGCAAAACATAACCATCAAACAATTGTCTAAAATCAGGCAACAAAAAGATTATGGACGACAATGAGGGAGAGACCTATATAAAAAGAGAAGTGCTGAGACTCTAACCAAGTTGAACAATTGAAATTACAGGCATCAATTAAACGATACCTAGATGTTATTAAAGAAACAAACCTGCAAAAAAATGGGAGAGTAGTGGTTTGAAGTCTGTGCATGAGAGGCGGATGACTGAGATGTGAATGATGACTGGCGCATGGGTGGTGAAGGGCAAGTTCCAGTAGAAGACTGTCTAGTCAACTCAAAAGGCATGCTGCCACTTCCAGAGACTGAGGGCGTTCCCATACGATCTGAAAATGGGTGACCAAATGCTAGCCAGTCTTTTTCAACAAGTGCCTGCATGAGGAAGAGACTTTGAAGAACAAAAGCACAACAGAAAGATCTAAGGTCATTGCTATAGTTTCCACATATGACACGCATGATGAAAAGTGATTTGTCCGAAGTTAAATGTAGAACTAGAATGAAACCAGAAACAAACTGCAAGAATGTGGAAGGACTGCTTCTTTAATATACCTCCCAAGGAATAGATGCATACCGGAGCTGTTTACCCCACAATCTTTTTCATCCTAGGTATTGGGGAAGCATCCAAAGTGCTTGTGTTTGGTACATTGGTAAGTCAGATGTTTGTAGTCATCCAAACCAAAAGGCAACAGTGATACGTTTGGATCGCATCTAGGTAAGCAACCCCCAACAGAAAAACCCACCCAGGGAGAGTGGGGATTCAATCCCAAAGTCCTTGCTGTACCAATTGTAAACCTAACATGGAATTTTAAATGCAGACGAAAGCAATAGGAAGAAAGAAGAAATATGACAGAACAGTGTCATTTCTTATTACTTTCTTGAGAAGGCCAATACATGACGTATTAGAACAGAAGGAGACGACAGTCTGTCTCATGACCCAAATTGATGCAATGGAAACAAGCAAAAAATTAGGAGGATAGTTACGATTAGAAGGATATATCACATGTTAAAACATAGTAAAAAAACATGGCAAAACGGAGGTACTATGATAAGAACTAACTTCCTTCACTAGTTTAGTCTTAGAAGAGGCATGGCAGCTCCGCTTCAGATGAAGACTTATCTAGGATTAGATATTGTAATATTTGTGTTTTATGTTTTATGTCTAAATGTGGACCCATGTTATGTGTCTTTTGTTAACCATTACAAATGTCTTGTCAGTTACCATATGTTATTATCAGTTTCATGCATCTAGGGCATGAAAGTTATTTTTAGTTACTGTGTCAGACTATAATATCATATTAAGCATTCTGCCAAGGACATGAATGAAGTACTATTCAGAAAACTTCGGGAAATCTCCTACTTCTAGAATTAGATTTTGATTCTAGAAGACTTCCATACCCACTTTCTCCTTCGTTCCCTCTTTCTACCCCTTATTCTAGCAAAAGGTATGGAGTCCTCTGAAAAGGGGTAGAGGAAAGCCAAACATAACACTCTATGAAACTATTAAGTGAGATCTTTCGATTAACAATCTACCCAAAAATTTGGCTGTTGATAAAGCCTAATGGTGTTGTACGATTCATGTAACCAATCCTATCTAGTGAAATAAGGGTATGTTGTTGTTGTTGTATCCTTTCTTTTTCTCTATCAAGTTTCAACCATACCATCGCATGTGACTTTTTGACAAATACCACAATATTATTATACTTGAGCGTCCTACAGCATGCCATGAATATACAAGAGAATTTAAGACACTGTTATACCAAATAGCTCCTTAATAGAATAGTAATAAAAGTCATTACCTGAAACCCTGTGAATGTGCGATAGTAGGGATCAAGTAACAAATCAGCAAGAGAAACCAATTGACTTGTTCTATCCCAGCCATCACTGATCAAAGCACAGACTTGGATTTTAAATACCAAATCAATTTGACTATGGACAGCAAACTGAAAAATACACAATTATATGCACCTGCAATGTACAAGAACAGAAGCCTTTTCCATATGAAGGCGAGCAGCAATCCAAGCAGCACCAGCTAAGACACTTTGAACGTGTAGTAGCCATCCACTGTCCCCAAGAGTAGATACTGAAGTAGACATACTACTTAGATTGCCTCCACCCCATGTTGACCCACCATGTCTCTATAAACCCCATAGAAACACATATAGTTGGTAAAACCCATACAAAAAAATCATCCAACCCATAATAAATACGATAATATTGCTAAAGTCCAATAGAATAGCATAAAAATGCCATTCACTGAAATTCTTGCCAAAACAAAGAGGTGTTAACTAAAATGTCCCATAACAAGTGAATGACAAGTTCTAATGCAGGAAATGACAAGATTCATGCTGCTCACTTGTCATTGGGACTTTTTGGTAATTGTGTTCTTTCTTTGGGACCTCAAAGTGGCTTCCCTTGAGCCCACAGAAAAACAGAGTTGGTAGAAAAACTGCTCAAAGATAATGTAGTGCATAACAAATAAGATGATCATCCTTGACATATGTAAAATAGCATTAAAAATGTCATTAATTCAGATTCTCGCCACAACATAGTTAAGCTAACATTTTCCCCATAAAATTGTAAGCAAGATGAATGTCACAAACATCAAGCGGAGAAGAACCATTATCTGGAACAAATTACCGGTTAGTAACATATTTTCAGCATGGAATTCTTCTCACAGCTATACAGTCAAATGGAGATAATTTAAGAATGACAACATCAATTGACATCGTTTCCAGGAGAGAGATTAAACTTTAGTCACATAAAAGGATGAATCGTGAAAGAAATCAGATAACATTTATGCATATGTCAGGGTCCAGAGTTATCCTTCTGATATCAACCATGACAACAGGTGTTTCAATTTCAATCCCGCAATGTGCAAACCCATTACTCCTTTGGAGGAATCCAGTGCAAAAACCTTTGTAATCAATGGCCTAGCCCTACTCAATATACCAAGGAAACAAATAACTAGACCTCTCTTAAGATTCTTAGACTAACCAAGAAAGATGACATTCCATCTGATGATGATTTGCCATGAGTGTCTAGGTATTCTCTTAGCCGAGCAAAGCTTTCTCTCATTGCATGGATGTTGTCTATACCAAAAAAAACTACCTGATGATATATCAGGAGACAGATGTTTAGAATATGTGGCTACATTTATGACTAAAAGAAATCATACGCGGACAGGTCAAGACTTCTACAGACCTCACACTGAAAGTAATTTGAAGATGATTCCGAACCACCTCCCATGGCCCCATTAGCTAATGCATTTTTCCTCGGTCTTGCATCAGCAATATAAAGCTTCCTAAAAGAAGAAAAAACAAGCAAGTTAATTGCCCATTAAGTTATTAAAAACATGACCACTGGAAAAAGCCTACTCTACTGTCAGTGATAAAGTAAACTTTTGGCACCGTACTACTATAAGATTCAACAGAAACATTGTTCATAATGATATTAATTAATACGGAAAGTAATTTACATCAGGAAGCCCTCACTAATTAACATCTAATGCAATATTTACCAAGTCTAGGTGAGTCATAGACGCATGTGATAGTTTTACTCATGTTGCTAGGAGTAACATGTTGATGGACATATTATGAAGGAAACTACAGTCTTACCTGCGCGAGCCATCATAAAGTTTGCCACATAATCCAGCGACGAGCTTTTCATCTGCATTGCTGCAGGTAAGTACACAAAAGCAAATCACTATTTATGAAGCAAAAAACCCATTATCAAACACTGAATTGTCATATGTGTCATTGGTACTATACATAATCCTTTAAAAAATAGTGACAGTCCGATCCCTCCAAACGTCCACCAAAAACCACAAAACCTTTCTCATTTGGCATTCACATGGTAGGTTTGATTAAATAGTCTGTAGTACCTCCTCATATTCATCATGAGGCCAACTAAAGGTTGGGATGAACGTGCAAGAACCGCTCCCGTATCTATAAGTTGTCACTTGCATTAAGGCAATAGTATTGAATTGAGATATCAAATGTAAAATAATTAGAAGAAACCAAAATCAAAATAAGAAGCACAAAATTCTCAATTAATGAAAATAGCAGAACCATGACTACACGTATACCTGGGTGGCACCATGAAACTACAGGAACCCGACATCTACCACGAAAGCTGGAAGCTTGTTGCACTTCATCATCACTAGCATCAAGATCATGTAAAGTTGTCGAACAAATGGTTCAGCAAAATAAATCTTGGAAAAAATAGAACATTTGTATATTAGTGATATACCTTATGGTCTTTGGTACAATCAAAGCGAAAGGATAACTCTGGCACACGTTGTAGTTAGAGTTCACTTTACTTATTCTCCACAAGTCATTTGACAAGGTAAAGGATCCACTTTCAATCATATTGCTTGAAGCACGGTAAAAGCGTTTTCCAAGAAGCCGGAAATACTCATCTAGTAGGCGCACCTTTGGGTTAGAGTTAGTAAACTTAGAAGGTCCACATATAAATGCATAAAGATCCCATAGTACAGCTGGCTTTGTACTTCTTAGTAAGGCATCAAATATGACACGCCTCTGTAAAATTTAATAACAAAAATTAAAACCTTCACATCAAGGAAGAACGTGACAGCATCCACTCGTAGTTCACAACACAATCTCAGCAACTAAAAACAATTTACCAATGTAAGATCATGTAACTATTTCTTGAGGAATCCTTTTATGTTAACCATAACAAGTAACCTTACCATAAGAGTTCAGTTAGACTATTAAGAAACGGAAATTATTGACTATTTGAGCAAAAATGCCACTCATGCATGATGGTTAGCTGTTTCATGCTTCAAAACTCAAAACAAATGTTTAGGGGATGTAACTCATTCAACTCATTTGAGGTCAGGAACTGGGGCTTTATAATGCTAGCATTTTGAAACACCATCCGTACTTTCAGAAGCATCTAAGATGGGCCAAGCGCGTGTTGCAGTGGCACATTTTGAGGCACAAAAAGCTAACCGTTTGGCTTGTGATGACAGAAGATGACATAGGTAATCCTATGGTTTAAAATTTGCATGCAGAGCCAAGCAGGGGAAAGCATAATTGTACTTCTACACGAAAAATATGCGCCATTTGTAGAGAATAAGGGCTACAAAGAATGCCTTCAGGATTTAAAAAAAAAAAGAAAAAGAATCTGTTATGAATGCCATGATTACTGTCCAGTAGAATTACCTGCTTTGTACGAGGCCTGAAACCAAAAACGATAATTCTCATATCTTTTCCTACACAGAAGAGAAAATATAAATAATCAGACAAAGCTAACAAAGAATAAAGCAAAACATTAAATAGAGAACAGAATATAATAGGAAGACGAATGGTAAGGATGTTGCAAGGATTTACAAAGTAGTGCATTATTTGCAGTATTATGGTAGCTTATACTAGAGATCAATGACCAGAGTTCTACATCAAAGATTTTAAGCCATGGAAGTTCTGGAGGATAAGTCAGTTTTTCTAGGTTTGTCCTGGGCCCCTACAAGATTAAGATTTTTTAAGGGTTATATCTGTTTCCATAGTAAAAAATTGGAAGGCTCTTTGGGCTGATGTATTGTTTCATTTTGTTTTTTTCCCAGTTTGTCATGTGCTTTTTACTTCTATCCTCCTCTAATCAATATTTTTTTTTTTTAATTATAAGCAACATTAAGATAACAAACCAAAACTGGCAGAAGTTCAGGGATAAATAACCACCTTTGTTCTGCATTATGAAGTGGCTCAGCAGATTTTGAATAAGCCGTTTGATTGAAGAAGCAGACAAGAAGGAGGAGGAGGAGGAGGAGGAGACTTAAACTAATTGGGAACTTAAGATGAGTGGTGGAAAAATAAACTATCCAATTATAAATACCCTAACAAATAATATTTCTTATTCAAACACCATTATAATAAAATTCCCTCCACTCATTGTCAAAGTTCTAACTCTGGGCATATTGTAAATCTCATTGATGTCAGCTTATTTTTAGCTGTTTAACGATCATGTAGATTATTTGTTGTTGGGAGAGAGAATTTCAAGGATTGCATTGAAAACATCATCTCTACACCAAGAACCATTCTCTTGACAAGGAAATAATCTCATAAAAGAATAAAATCTATAATAACTTGTCATTCATTGTTAGCCGCCACCACATTCGTCCATCAAACTAACTTTAACTGCAACAAAACGTAATCAGATTGGAAATAAATATGAATTTGTAGCATGCCATAACTTATAACACCCCCAAATTCCAATTAATTAAAAGATCATTCTTCCATTTTATCATTTTGATAAACCTACAAGCATTATATTGCGCCAATCTAATCCATAAACATCATGTAAGTTTATTTGCTTCAACACTTTAAAGCAGCAACTTCTTGATGGAATAATAATTCTCAGTTCTTGTTATGCATTGGGTCAGTACTAACTTCCACAGCAATTTCACATGGAATGTGATTTTCATCACAATGAAGAGGCCCAATTTGATGGTGTTGTGCATGCTTAGAAATCCTTTAGCATATTAGGTTTAAAGGAAATGCTCAAATTTTCAAGGACTCTCATAGGGTATAACTATATAATTTCTCAAGATCTCAGCCAATGCTTTTCTTATAATGTTACTATCTCCAACATACAAAGGGATTCATTGACTTTGTTGTATTTTTACCCTCTTCAGCAGTAGTCTTTCTCTATGCTCACTTGGAGGAGATTTTGCATAGTGGTCTCAATAATTCGAGAATGTAAAGGAAACTTTTATTTAGAGAAACTTATTTGAGATCATACCAATAACCTGGAGCAGTCTTTGTGGGGGTGTCTTGTCTAATTGACGATTGGCTGACTGCATCTTTACAGCCTACAGGTAAAGGACAGCGAAAAGCTTTAAATCAAGTAAAAGTAGAATGCAAACACGATAAAAGAGGAAAACAACATGGAATTCGATGCATAAATAGATCACCTGGTTGAAATTTGAAAAATACATCATAGATAATGATTAATAATATTACACAAATCAATATGGAAAAAAAAGATAATATGAACATCCATTCCCTGTGGCTCTGCTTATATGAACATACAAAACCAGTAGCAAAAATAATGTACTTAGCATATGTGAAATAGGCTAAAAAGGAAAGATGGTTATGCTTAATATAACTGAGCACATGCAGAATAAAGAAATCTACAGCATAAATTGTACATTTGATTTGAAAACTTACTATCTTGTTAAACTTCTCAATTGTTGCAAGTGCAATCGTTCCAAGGGCAATAATATTTCTAGTTCGATCACTCTAGAAAAAGTAAGAGCACATCAGAGGACATTACTCAGTAAAGTAAACATGCAGATGGAAAAAAAAAAAAAAATCTAGCACCTCAGACATGGATTACAAAAATATAAAAGCTAATATATTCAGCAACAAATGCTCAGAAACTGAATATTTTTATTTTATCAGGACTCATGCGCTTCAATAAAGGCGAATGCAATGATATTAACAGGAACACAATAAAAGTTAGTGTCAGAATCAGATCAGATCAGATCAGATCAAATCAAATCAAATCTCTTCTAGCCGTTAGAATCAGATCCCCAATTACCTGTTGTTTCTATTTTTAATCCCTAGAATCACGGTCCCATATCAATGGGATTTCTCTCCCTTAATTTTCATTTAATGTGATCAGAATTCCAAATATATTATGAGGAAATCTGATCCTATTTATGTACTGCTCTCCTATTGGAATCATCTATCAATTACATTCGAATTATTCACAATAGTTAGGAAAATAGAATCGAAAGTCAGAGATGAGTTGTAGAATTGTGTGACATAGTGACTAAATGACAGAGGAAAACACGCCAGAAAATAGAGCACAGGAGAATTCTGTCATAATGGGTTTGGCCCATGGGGAAGCAATCAGGGAACAGCATAATCATTATTAATGGTAGGTCAAACCATATCACTATGGTGTGTTAATCAGAATGAGTCGGTTGTAAAATACAAGGCTTATTTATGATGCATATAGATGTATATAAATACCTAGGCTACTGTGTATTGTTCAGAGTGGAAATTCAATTCATTTATAGTTAACAGGAGTTCTGCAATCATCCTTCATTGCAGCTTCATTTCTGAATCTCCACAGAGGTTCCTTCTTCTGTTTTCTTGCTAATAAAGGAAAAAAAAGTCTCAGGTACTAACATAATAGTCCTGTTTTCATATTTGTTCTTGGTCTTCGAAGCTTTTCATTCTCCCAAAATTACTAAGCAAGAATTTCAGACAAACATTATTATGTTTATCACCTTACTGGGGGGTGGGTGATTCTAAGTCACACCTCTAGGTCCTGTCCTAACATCATAATGCCTAATCAAAATCTAAATTTCAGATGACGAAATATTATCTGAAGGACTTACCAGAAAAACAAGACGAAAATTTGTGACCACCAATGTGCCTGCATCATCTGAATTAATAAGAACAACGCCATGTCCCTGAACATAAACATCATATGCAGATAATTTTCGTCTAGAATAGATTCACTTATAATAAATGTAAATTAAAACACTGGGACTTGAATTTCTAATGACGATAGATGTTAATAGTCCCTTGAGAAGTTCTAGATACAAGCTGAGATAAACCATCATATTAGCTGACTTATATTGACTTAGTATAATCCTTTGGCTGGATTTTTTAGGGTCAGAAAGTTAAAGTAATGAATAAGTATATAATTCAATCTATTTTTCAGTTGAGTCACCAATATTGAGGATGAGGTATTTGTTTAAAACATGCTAGTAACTAATTAATAATGATGGTCGAATGCATGTGTGCTTTGTCAGTCTCAAGAATTCTTTCAAAACTCGAGAGCACACTGGTTGCTGCAGTATCCCCATAACCCTACATCTAACTTATACAGAGAATGAGAAGAAATAACCAGAAGAGGAGAGATAAATAACAGGTAAGGGCAGAGGGGGTGAGATAGAAAAAGTAAACACTCGAGGACACAAACAGGACGCGTAGCCACAAAGGATGCAAGAAAGAATGAATGAAGTGAATGAGGCGTTGAAAGGCAGGGAGTGTGCAAACAGAAGTTAAAATGACTCCCAAAAGTGGCCCTTATTGTATTGACACATGGCGTGCACGTCACACCACTAGACACCCTTAACAGCCATGCTAATAAATTAGCAGCAGTGTTATCAAAATTGGATATAAACAAACAGTTCAACAGGAGAAAAAAAATGTTTCGGAATGTCCACACCAAGAAGTCATTTCGGGAATCCATAGCTTAGATAATCTCCAAAAATAGAAAGTCTTTCTCTTTTCTGGGGAGAGCAGCAAGAAGAAAACAAATGAATAATGAATATGCTTTCCCTACAGCAAAAGGGGGAAAAATGAGCAGGTTAGGCTCCAGCTGTTCGATGCTTCTTTTTTTCATTTTTTGGTTGTTGGTTCAAAAACACATAATTTTCCCAGGCTAAACATTTTCTTCCTGTATTCTAATGTTACATAGGTAGTTAGGATGGAATCTGACAATGGTGATGGTTTTCCTGAAATATGGATTTAATCTCAACAAATGTTACAATATATTATCGGTTGTTTGTTTAGAGTTGAAGTTGTATATGACATGTTTGGATTTGAATAAAAACTATAAAATGTTTTTTTTTTTTGCTTCCTCATATAATATTTTAATATACAGAATAAAAATATAATAATGTAATTATGACTTGTTTGACAAGATTCAACCATGATCAACCAAGGAATCTTGAACCAGAACTTCATGTCAATGACCAGCCAATTATAAAATTTATAATATTGCTAAGACATGAATTACAGGGGACGTTCGCTAAGCATTTGTTTACTTGGGTATATCTTCATCCTAATTCTTACAAGATAAGGGTTTTGAAAACTGCTTAAAAATATTTATCCACACACTAATAACTTGTGATTTCTTTGTCATTTTCTTCAAACTTGATATATTAGTCCATCTTGGTCGTACACTTGCACTGCTTTGTATGCATCCTGTCCAAGGAGCGCAAGCATTAGTACTTCAAGTTTGACTTGTTATGTGTCCAAGAGGAGACGGTTACTTGGGTAATTCAATCATGTTATTGAGTTTGTATGATTCATAATATGGTATGAGAGTATCCAAAGTCATCCTGCCACTCTTTTTACTACCCTTAAATTCCACATATTATGCAGATTCTGCTCGGTGATCACGTTACACAGAGCAAAGAAAGTAGTGCAACAAACAGCGAGCGAGCAGAAAAAGGAAAAAAGGTAATGCAATTGCGGCGTAAAGAGTAAAAGCACTGCATACCTGGGCTATGATGTTTTCTTCCTCCAGCAAGAAATCTAAATTGGCATGCGAAACGTTGCGTGAACCAGGCTGCAGATAAATTCACACACCAAAAAAAAAAAAAGGCAAACAAATGGATTGAGAACGTAGAGAAGAAACAGAAAGAAGTGAATTGAAAATTCAATTCAAATAGGAGGAAACCTGAAACTTGGTCCATTGGAGGGCATCCCATGTACCCGTGCCCTCCATCTTGGAGGAGTCAGAGGCGTCCCTGAGAGACGTTGATCGAGTGTTGCGTGGCTTCGGCGCGGCCATGACGGCGAAGAGGGAACCACCACCACCACTAGTTTGCAATGCGACACGGGGACACCGTCCTGGAGAAAGAGCGCGCGGCGAAGGCTCACCTGCCGTTCAAAGAAGGGGTCCTCTTTTCATGGGCTGCTTAGCCCCCCTGGTAGGCTGGTAGCAAATGTTGGCCAACATGGAGAGAAACATATCTTAAAATTTTTTAAGTTGTATAATTTTTTTCCCAAATATAGTTATTTTAGAAATCAAAATTAAATAATATATAAACATTACTTAGAATAAATTGTATTTTTTTAATTATAACAAGGGCAATTAGAGATGGCCTTTTTGTATTCATATAGAGTTACAAACATTATGTTTAAATGGCCATAACACCTTTCATTAAGATCAATAATGGTTGGGTTTTTAAATTAAAATCTCTCAATATATTGTTTTTAAAAGAATTTCTTTTTTTTTAAATGTATAAGAGAGTTTAATACTTTAATAAGTGTACTGTAAATATGAGAAATTAAACTTACCGAATCAACAAATGATTACCTCCGGTCCTAATCATAAGAGCTAGTTGATTTATTTAAGAAGATTAAAAAAATAAGTTAAGTTAAGTATTTGTAATAAATATATGCTTTCTTTTCTAAAATATTATTATTAATCAAATGTATTGGCTAGAACTATTATTATTAGAAAGACTTCAATAGAAAAAAAAATACATAAATATGATAAACAAAATGAATTGGGGTCTGATATTTAAGAACAAAACAAAATAAAGGACTAAAGTAGTATTAGATAAGGAATGTTATGGTGTTATAGGAACAAGAGAAATTCATTTCGATGGTAGAAAAGTAGGAGAGTCCATTTTATTTACAAATGAGAAAATATTTTAAAACTATTTTATTTAAGAGAACATTTTCCTTAAGCTTAGACTAATTTTTTTTAAAAAAAATCCGTGCATAAATAGATAAGAGTTCTTTTCGGCCCCAAAAAATAGTGTTTTTTTGGTTAAATAAGAATTTAAAAAACAAAGTGGAAATCCTGGAGAACTGTACACACGTGATATGTTGTATTTGCATGAGAAGATCAAAATATCTTCATAGGGGTTGCATGTACTTTTCTACCCTATCACTGTTTTCCTGTCCTCTCTCAACATTTTAGTTTTAAATTTTTAATCAATATAAATAATAAATTAATCAATATAGAATATTAAAATTGCAGCTTATTTTGAGATAAGTGCAAATTCAAAAGTTCATTCTAATTATTATATTTGATGTTATTGCACCAAATGGTATGGCTTAATTTTTTTTTTTTTAAATACCGGGACTACAAAATCTGATATATTTTACTTTGAAATTTTAAATATTTTTAGAAATATAGTCTCTTCATTATATATATATTTCATAAACTTATAACTAGAAGTGATATTTACAAATTCCAAATGATACAGTTCCTCTTTCTTTCTTTTTTTTGGGTGATATATAGCTCCTTTTTTTTTTTCTGATAGCGAGTTCCTTTTTTGGTAATAGCAGTTAGCAGACAACGCACAGTGCTTGTTTTGTTTTGTTTTAGTGTTATTGTCTTTTACTTAATTTGTCATCCTGCAGTTGGCCGAGATTTGTTAATTATTTATTCTTCTAGTTCTTAATATAAGATCTATTTAACTAATTTGATTAGATTAAAGAAGTTAAGTAAGTTAATTAATTATAAAAAACGTGACATGTTTTAGCTAAAACACTATAGTCATCTTTTTAACACCAATTCTCCTTCTTCTACTTGATTATGGTTGAAAGAGTATTCAAAGAGGTAATTTAGATAAAATTGATAAATATGAAATATTAGTCTTATATTTAGGACCAAAACCAATTTAACAATTAGGCTCTATATTAAGAACAGAAGGAGTATATAATATATTATATCTAACCAAGATCCCAATTGGAGTAATTGACTGTACTTTGAACAGAGTTAAAAACGATTTACACGTCATCCCTCGCCTAGAGAGTAAATTTTAAGCAAATGACACAGCTATATTTCTTCTTTCCTGTGTTCTAATCATAGAAAAATCATGACTTTTAGCTGAAAAGGAGAGGAGAGGAAATGGGCAAAGAAAATTTCACGTGGCATCTTCTTCCTTATTTGCTTCAAGGGTCACAACAAAACTATAAATTTTTAAGAGCATAGATTTATCACTATTTCTTTTTTTGAATAAACTCGCAAGTTTAAACATTATGACATCTTTTGTCATCACATTTGAGATAACTTACAATCATGTTCTGTGTAAGTTATAACAGAACTCCTTTATAATTCCTTTGTATACTTATCTGGTATTTCGTAAATCATGATTGAAAAACTACTTGTAAGTCATTTCAAACAGCCTTTGTATAAAGCAGGGAACAACATGGTTCATTGATTGATGAGATTATCCAAACAATGATTATGATGGTGACAAACTAGGAGTAAACGTGAGATTTATAGAGCACCATGTTTTATATAATGTACTAGGTACAAATATCGTGTCAAGCTTCCATGCTTGGCCAGCAATAAGATCATATAGAAAGTAACCATGATAGCTATACAATTAGGTAATATGCAGATGTTCCTAAATAAACACGCCCTAAACATGATGCAGCAACTCACCACTGAAACAGAAAGGCTGGGGTAATTTGAATATCTCAAGCTTCAAGCAAAGAGAAATTTATGGATACTTCCTTGTTCGGTTGCTCCTATATCTGATACGAAATCACCAACATGGGTACATTAAAATTTTCAATATATATATATATATATATATATCATATCCAAATATCTTGTAAATTTCAAATTACTTGAAAACTAAGTTATTACATACCACACATCCACCAAAAGATCAACTCCTCTTTGCAAGATGAGACCAGCTATACAAGTTTTGGCAGCTAGGAACTCGGCAAAGAAAAAGAATGATAAATGTCCATGAAACTCATCTCACCAGGAATTCATTCTGCTACTACAATTTCTATAGTAGGGGCATTACTCTCAGCTTCACCCAGCATTTTAACTTTTGATCTGCGAGTGTTGAGATTTAAGAAGCCACATTGTTGATGTTTGTCCAACGTGTTTCCCCATCGAACCGGAATTTTGTTGGAGACAGCAACGAGCTAAGTACATGCTTACCCTTTCAGATCAAGATACTCACGGAACATTCTGCTACTGGCACACTCCGCCAGAGCTTTTGTGTTAAGTTCCTGACCATATCTCCAGACATAATTCAGTCCAACAAGAAGCTCAGTTATTGTTGCTTCAGTCTTTTCTTGATTTGCGAAGTAAAGCGTTTGTACCAGCAGCACATTTGTCCGAGAAACAAAGCTCTGCTGCTCAAAACTTCTCTCAGACTGCCATCTAATCATGTTATGAGCAAGTGGAGCCAACCATTCCAATATTCTTGACATAGCTTCAGTCCATTCTTCTGCTAGAGCCGTATCATAGACTGATGACGCCATGGTCTTCGCATATGGCTTTAGCTTGTCCCTAAGGGCAGTTCTCACAGTTGTCGGTAACATATTGTACAGGTCTTCTCTTGCATCAGGGCCAATCAAGTGCGGAGTAGCTGCCAACTTCTCAATGACAATGATAACATTTGCATAGTGTAGTGCCAAAGCAGCAGCACCAAGTGTATCAAGCGGAGGATTTAACAGCTTGCCCTTAGAACTCAAGACTGATTGATCATAATGAACTGCTTTTCCACGACCAGCTAGGCTTGGATTAGCATCATAGACATTCTGCGTCCCCATTTGAACATCACTGGAGCTTAAGTAGCACTCGCTGACAGAGGAACTGTCTGCAGCCATTATACAGCCTTTGAAAGGCCCCACTTGAGTTAACCGACTGGCTCTTGTATGAGTTTTTTTGGCGTAGCCGGGAAACTTCCAAATCTTGCCAATTTTATTTTTTTGATTGACTGGGGCAGATCTCTGCAAATTCGTCCCCAAGGGACCAGAATAAAAATTGACACTTCTATTATTTCCTGAAATTGGGCCCGATTTTGTGGATGAGTCACCAAGAGGACCTGAATGAAAAATGCTGGTTTTATTTGTTTTTGACATTGGACCTGATTTAGCAGTAATACCCACAAGGGGTCCTGACGCAAATCTGGGAAGACTATTCTCAGACGGGTGGACTGAAGGTTGCTGCAACAATGCAGAAACAGATTGGCTATGGTAGATATAGTCGGAATTCAAGTTTCTTGAATCATTGGTTTCACTACCATCCACTATGTCTTGAATTCCAAACACATGGTTGATCCTACTAAAAATTGTGAATAAGGATCGAGCTAAAAGAAGTACAGTGTAATCATATGTCCTGTTCCACAGAGAAATATCCTGTAGGTTCTTCACCTCATGCCTCTTCCATGCAACCTTTTTCTGAAAGTCAATTAAATTTACACCATCTGACTCACCATTAGACTTGATTCTTCGAAGAGTTTGCTCAAAATCAGCAAGCACTTCCATCTCCTGATAAAGACTTGCATTAGTTGATATAAACTTCTCCATCTTCTTAACTTTCTTTTCCATCTTCTTCCAAGTGAGTTGCCAGCCGTATGGATCAACGCCTATGTTCATAAACTCATCAAAGGCACTCCCAAAACCTTTCAAACTTGGGTCGCTGCATTTCTTCCCAAGCCTAGCCACAGATTTAGCCACTTGTGACAAGGACTCAAGCATCTCTGCACTAATTAAACCTACAATAAAATTCTCATCATCTGAAACGAGCTTTTTTATGCCTACTGAATTTGAAATCTCTTCTCTCAGTTTGGCAACCCGCTTATCACTCAAACATTGCCACAAATTAACCAGCTTGGACATCAAGCTCGCCACTTCAAATGCTAATACTCCAATTGCCACCTTCTCATTATTAGCATGATGCTTCCGTGGTGTCTTCCACAGATTTCGAAACCATGACTCGGCAACCATCTCTTACCTTGGAAAGCACAAGAAATATGCTTTCTAAGATCAGTTTTCCATCAAAGCTCTGTTGTGCACAACAAATAAAAGACAAGTTAGACTAGTTACCAGATCAGTTTCAAAATAGTGAAAGGAAAATGCAAGTTTAGCATAGCATATCATCCAAAGTGGTATACTATCGCCAACAACAATATGCTCCACCGATCAA